CTCTAACCACTAGCGCCGCTCCCTCTTAAGGATCTTTGACCTCCGCACCGTCTACCTAGAAAAAAAATCCTCGGATTGGGAGGACTCTGCCCACTGAGCCCGGCTCCACTCCTCTCTTTCCCCCAGATCCTAACTTCATGTCACTTTGCAAGTGGAAAAGCAGGCGGAGCCAGAGCCTCCAAGGACAGCCAATGGCGCAGGAAGAAAGTGTCAAGAGCAACCAATTGCGCGTTGCGCGACGCCTGGGTGGCCAATGGCGCGCGGAGGAAGGAGGCTTCCTCCAAAGGGCCGGCTTCGAGGCGGGGGGGGGGACAAGGGGGGACAAATGGTAGTCTTAACTTTCTGCTATCACATGATCCTGGGTCATATGATCTCTAAAAGCGGGTTGGTGTGCGGGCGTGCCGCACGTCTGAATGCCTGGTTTGTGAGCCGCTTGATCCTGGCGCTTGCTAGTTGCCGGAACAGGCAACTTCAAGGCCACTTGTTGCTATGTCGTTTCCGCAGAGCAGGAGCTACCAACGGAGTTGTGTGTTTTTTAATGTTGCTGAGGATTTTTATTTTTTTTTGGTAACAATGAAATATTAAAAATGCTGTGCGGTTTTTAGCCTCGCTGGATTGTGCGTGCGTGAGTTTGCAGAGCTAGCGCGATAGACTCGACGTTAATCGTCGTGTGGGATCTAAAGGGTGGGATTTGCAGCCGACTCCTGTTCATCACCTTCACTGAACTAAATAGGATATAATCCCCCCCAAAAAGTTCACGGATTGCCGCTATTTAACTTTTGGATAACGGTCAGGCTGTTAGTTGTGAGCACCGTTTTGCTGGATTGTAGCCCATGAATTCTACACTGTTGTTATGTGAGAATACTTAACGTGTAGCTTTTGTGCAGAGTGCTACATGTACATTGTAATCCTTACAACAACCATGTAACGGAAGTACACAAAGATGAGGTAGGAGAGGCTGGGCCTGAGAAAACAGTGGTCTGAGTAAGGAATCCAAAAGTCTGTGGCAGAGGCAACCTTAAAAACCGGGCGTTTTCAGGTTCCTCTCTTGGCTGGTTTCAGAGGACAGTCCTGTGGGTCTGCAGCAAAAGAGCTGGATTCGAGTCCAGTAGCCCCTTAGGGGCCAACAGGAGTTTCAAGGTAGAAGCCTTCCAGAGTCAAAGCCTTTCTGCCTTGAAATTCAGATCTCTCAGTCCTTTTATCCCAGTCAGAAGGTGGGAAGGGATGTAGTACTACAGGATGCAAAGGTGCAATGTAAATTGCAATCAGCTTGACTAGAGCAGAGGGGAAATGCCTGGGGACAGAAAATTAGCATCTGTAGTGAGATAAGAATCCTCTGTCCCTGTGCAGCCCTGGGGTGACCCACTGTTCTGAACTTGCGAAGTGACTCAAATCCAGCAAACCTCAGGTTGTAATCTCCCCTTGTTCGAGGACTGCTACTCTTAGATCAGTAACGGAATTACCTGGAAGATTAAAATGTTCTCCCGCTGATTTTTAATGTCGGATTCCTGTCCATTTAGTCTTTTGCTAGGGACTGACCTGTGTGTCTGATGTAAAGAGTGGAAGGGCATCGCCGACATGTGATGGCATATGTAACGCTGGAACCTGAACAAGTGAATGAATCTGAGATGGTATGGCCGGTGTTGTTAGGTCCAAGTTCTTGTGTCCTCAGAGCAGATATTCAGACAGAGCTGGCATCTTGGTTTGTTGCAAGGATATTGCTGAGGGCAAGAAGTTGTTTAAGGTTAAAAAAGGTAAAGGTTCCCTTGCTCAAAAGCCAGTCGAATCCGACTCTAGGGTTGCGGTGCTCATCTCCGTTTCAAAGCCGAAGAGCCAGCACTGTCCGAAGACATTTCCGTGGTCATGTGGCCGGCATGACTAAACACCAAGGCGCACGGAACGCTGTTACCTTCCCACCGAGGTGGTACCTATTTATCTACTTGCAATTTTTTGCTTTCGAACTGCTAGGTTGGCAGGAGCTGGAACTAGAGACGGGAGCTCACTCCATCATGTGGCACCCGGGTCTCGAACTGCTGAACTACTGACCTTCCACAGCCTGCAGTTCAGCGTCTTAACCACTTGAGCCACCGCAGCTCCCTGTTTAAGGTTAGGAGGCAAGAAATTGTTTAAGGTTAGAAGGCAAGAAAAGATGCACCTCCCAATGCTTGTGAGAGAGGAATATCATCCAGCATAGGTTGTAGGTTGTTAAGGATGTGTTGAACCGGTTTGAGCTGTGAGCTTTATGTGAACACCAGTGATGTTCTGCCGTTGTTTCATTTGGGCCTATCTTGTAGCAGGTTATTCCTTGGTATCATTCTGGCTTTGTTGATTTGTTTCCCATGCTACATCAGGTGGTAACTGGAGGCGTGTAAATATGTTTGGCAATCAGTAGTTTTCTGGGATAAGGTATTTTTATGCTTCCATTATGTATGTGAAAATGTAAAAATCTCACCTAATTGGAGATGGGAATGGGGACACTTCACCCAGAGATCAGAAAAACCTAATTCATACATCACAAGAATTTTTGCCATGACTGGATCCCATCCCAGGCCAGTAATAACAGAATCCCATGAGATGGGTAGATTACATGAGGAGTTTCCTCCCATCCCCGGTGACTTGCAGTACCCAAAGGGAGCTCCACACACGATCCATCTCAGGTATTTCTGTCATTCAAATGATACCAGAGTGCCCTGGGATCCAGACAGCAGTCACGCCACTTGATGTGAATCAAGACTTTGCAGCTTTGGACATGCGAAAAAGCAAAGAAATTTTGGAGTGAGATCCATGCAGAGATGGAAAAGATCACGAAATGTACATTTAAAAAGGAACCAGAAATAGTACTTTTGGGACTAAAAATGGAAGAGGTTAATGTATCAAAGAGAACTCTGATGTGGTATATGATAACTACAGCAAGAATGATGTATGCTCAGAATTGGAAACAGCAAGAAGTCCCGAAGATTGAAGATTGGATTAAAAAAATATTATTTTCAGTTGAAATGGACAAACTGACAAGAAAGTTGAATAATATGGAAGGAGAAGATTTCTATAATGACTGGAAGGATCTAAAAGAATACTTAGGGAAGTATTGGGGAAGTAAAAGACAATTTGTTTAGTTTTAATAATTATTAATCATAGAATGCTTGGGAGATAGGATAAGTTAAAAATTAATTACTATAGTGAAATAATAGTTACCTAAAAAGGTAAAGGTTCCCTTGCTCGAAAGCCAGTCGAATCCGACTCTAGGGTTGCGGTGCTCATCTCCGTTTCAAAGCCGAAGAGCCAGCGCTGTCCGAAGACGTTTCCGTGGTCATGTGGCCGGCATGACTAAACACCAAAGCGCACGGAACGCTGTTACCTTCCCACCAAAGGGGTACCTATTTATCTACTTGCAATTTCTTACTTTCGAACTGCTAGGTTGGCAGGAGCTGGAACTAGAGACGGGAGCTCACTCTGTCATGCGGCACACTCGGGTCTCGAACTGCTGAACTACTGACCTTCTACAGCCTGCAGTTCAAAAATTAATAAAGAGATGGGCAGGAGGTCGAAGCACTGTGGGAAGCCATATATTAGGGAGGGGAAAAGGGAGGTGGGTAGGGTATGAAAGGGACAAATGTAAAAAAAAAATTTGTCATTTTTTTTCTATTTATGAATGTTTATATACTAAAAAAAAATTTGATAAAAGAAAAGATTTTGCAGCTTTATTTATTGCATTACATTTTTATCCTTTGCTCCAAGAAGCACCGGGCATCATACAGGGTTCTTTAGCCTTGCACAGAGAGCGAGGCCACGGGTTCTGTGCTGTCTGTGGCCACTTTAGTCTTTCTGATCTTGAGTGCTACTGGGGGGCATCTTATACACATTCAGACAGTAATCTTATATTCCCTTCCTTATGAGTCCTATTGAATATGAGCTTACTTCTAAGTAAATATTAGTACCTATTCCTATAGCAGCGTCGATTTGCATGCTTTAGGGTACTAGCTCACTGTTGTTTCATAAGGAAAAGAATGGAGACGCAGGTGGAAAGAATGTGCATTCATTTCAGTTCCATCTGTTTAGGCTTAGGTTACAGGTAGCTTTGGCTCAAAGCAAAAGCCAAACGCCACACAATGCCTTCCAGCACTGGTGGTGGAAAGTGCTGTCAAGTTGTCGCGGATTCATGACAACCCTATAAGGTTTTCAAGGCAAGAGACACAGAGGTGGTTTGCCATGGCCTGCCTCTGCATAGCAAATCTGGATGAGACATTTTATTCTGCACACACACGTGCACGTGCACCCCCACACACACAAACATCCAGCCTGATGAAGAATTCTGGAGAGCACAAAAGCTTACATCCCATTTTGTGTCATTTCGGTTGGTACTAATTAAAAGGTGTCACGTGGCTTTTTGGACAATCCAGGCTTAGATTCTGAAAAGTATGCAGACGGAGAGTGATTCAGCAAAGCATACTTTATTCAGTCAGAACAAGACGCTTTGGCCGGCTCACAGGCCAGCTTATATTACCTCAGAACCCACCACAACAACACACACCCCACTTCCTGATAGGCTATTTACAGTGACCGAGAGACCTATTGGCCTCACGGTCTGGGACCTAGCCCTCTGATAGGGCGGGCTAGGATCCTCCTGGCCCATTGTCTTTAGGCGCAAAGCTTGAGGTTTGTCCCTGGACAAGTCCGGACATGATCGGCCATGTCAGGGCTGGATACACTACACCCCTCCCCCCTTGGTCCGCAATGCACCCACAAACAAAGTCCTTCAGGTGTGCTGGTAACTTCCTGGTGCGGGTCGAGCGGTGCGGTTCCAGGACTGTTGCTGCTTCTACCCTGGGAGCCCTTGGCGGTGAGCTGACCGGGCAAGGAGCTGGGGGTGGCGGTGCCGGTGTTACCGGCGCCTCCGGAGGTGTCTCAGGTTCCCCCACGGTTGGGGGCCGAGGGTCGGCTGAGGGTGACGGCCGTGGTTTGGCCACCGGCAGTTGGGCCCTTTGTGAGGTCTCTGGAACCACGGCCAGGTCCGAGTCCTCGGGGTCTAATGGTAGCGTCCGGCGGCGTAACTGGTCGATGTGCCGGTGTAGCACTTGGCCGTCCTTACTAGAGACCTCGTACGATCTGGGGCCCTAAACTCGGATGACTTGAGCCAGAATCCAGGCGGGGCCTCGGGTGTAGTTCCGTGCATACACGGGATCTTCCGGAAAGAATCCCCTGGCTGCCTCGTGCGTCTCCGTGCTGGGGGCCTCCGGCGATGCCCGATTGGGATGCAGCTGATCCAGCCGGGTCGCCAGGCGGCGGCCCAGAAGTAGTTCCACCGGACTGCGTCCCGTCGTGGTGTGGGGCGTAGTTCTCTGTCCGAAAAGGAAAGACACCAGGCTTCATTGCTATTGGCGGTAGTCAGGCCTTGATGCGGATGGGCCGTACTGTGGGGTCTAGGTCCAGAGATATGGGGGGGGCTGTGAATTGGCTCAGTGTGCCATCAAAGACGCGAGGAAATTCCGTGCACACCGTGCCGAAGTCCCGCGTCCCGACCTGATGGATTCCCTTTACCAAGAGTCCCAGGGCCTCGAACCAAGAGAGTCCTAGCAGGCTGGAGAGAGGCCTATCCACCACCAGCAGGTCTAAAGTGCCGTTAAAGTCCTGGAACTGCACCCGGAACTTGCCCCAGCCCCGCACCGCCACGGAGTTTTTATTGAAGTCCCGTAACCGAAAACCCCGCGACTTCCGCAGGGGAGGCCCTTCCCCCTGGGACACAGCGTGCAGAGCGTATCCGCAGAGATGATGGAGTAGATTGACCCCGTGTCGATCTCCATGCTGCATGGGGACCCCTCAATAAGAACCGTGACATGCATCTTGTTGGGGCTGTCGGGGGGCAAGTTACAGACCTGGCGTTGCGGAAGTTGGGCCGATAATGGAGTGGAGGTCGACGGGCTAGTCCGTCGAGGTCTGGTGCGCTGACGACTTCTGGCGTGGTCCCTTGGAGTGGCAGACTCTGGCAATGTGCCCCGATTTGTTGCAGGCGCAGCAGACTGCATTACGGAAACAGCACGATCTGTGCTCATGGCCTTCCCCACAGCTGGCACACGGAGCTGACGTGGTCAAAGCCTTGCCCGGTTTGGAGGACGAATGCCGCTGGCGGACCTGTAGAACCTCGTCCGAGGTGTCGGAGCCGACGGTCCTTTGGGTGCGGTGGACCGCCTTGGCGCGGCGGTCTTGATGGGCTTTCTCGTACGCGGTGGCCTCCCCGATCACCTTATCCAGGTCCAAGTCATCCTGGCTGACCAGCTTCCAGCGGAGCTTGGGCTCCCTTAGACCCACCAGGAACTGGGTCAACAGGGTGTCCGCTGGGTGCGGAAAGGAGCAATTGGTGGCCGCACGCCTGAGCCCGGCCAAGAACTCGGAGGCTGGCTCGTCCGGCCCTTGGACCCTCGCACAAAAGTCCATGCGCTCGGCGAACTTCGTGGGCTTAGGCAAAAGGTGGTCGGTCAATGCTTTCACCAGCACGGGGTAGGGCTCCTCCTTTGTCTTCTTCGGTGCGATGAGGTCCTTGAGTAATAGGACGGTGTCCATGCCGCACAACTGCAGGAGATGAGCTTTCTTCTTCCCCTCGTCCGCAATGTCGTTGCAATCAAAGTAGTTTTCCAGGATCTTGAGCCAGGTCTCCCATTCCGTGGGGCGGGAGATATCGAAGGCGGCGATGTTGCCCCAGTTGGCAGCCATTGTGCGGCGGCCACGTGGTTGGGGTATCTCTGAAACGGAAACGGCAGCGGCTGGAGCGTGGGTGCGAAGCGGCGCGGCTTGCGGGGGTCTCGGCGTTGGGGCTCGATGCGGTGCTCGAATCGGCGTCCGGGTCGTTGTTCATGGGAGTTAAAATCCCACCTTCATCGCCAGTGAAAAGTATGCAGACGGAGAGTGACTCAGCAAAGCATACTTTATTCAGTCAGGAACAAGACGCTTTGGCCGGCTCACAGGCCGGCTTATATTCCCTCAGAACCCACCACCCAAAACACACACCCACTTCCCGATAGGCTATTTACAGTGACCGAGAGACCTATTGGCCTCACGGTCTGGAACCTAGCCCTCTGATAGGGCGGGCTAGGATCCTCCTGGCCCATTGTCTTTAGGTGCGAAGCTTGAGGTTTGTCCCTGGACAAGTCTGGACATGCCCGGCCATGTCAGGGCTGGATACACTACAGTTCCACAGGGGAGAGGGACAAAGAGGTTGCGGCAAAGGCATCACGGAAGGGGGGGGGACTGAAGCAGGGATTTATATTAAGTGATGTGGCATCATGCAGGTGTTCTGAGATGAGGCCGTTCCAGGCATCAAGAGCAGCGAAGGAGGAAGGGTGGAGGAGCTCTTAGAAGCAGCGAGAGGCCTGTGGAGTGCAGAGGGTGCTGCAACCAGAACAGCAAAGGTCACAGACAAGATTGTCTCCGGATATAAGAACAAAGGGGCAGGGAGAGCAAGGCCACAGCTCATGCAGGGCTTTGGAGATCAGGGTGTTGTGCTAGGTTCAGGAGAGGGAAAGAAGGGTCAGAGGACAGGGCATCACAAAAACACACTGAGGATCAGGCCACATGTGATACGTGTGCATTGGGTCCCCGAGAAAAGTATTGTGTGTCATTTCCTGCAGGGTGGTACAATCACTTCCCCAGCACCAGTGCACTGTGGTTTTTAGGGGAATTGAAGATTCTTCTGCAGGCTGGAAACAGCAACTCTGAAATAGGAACTGGGCAGTGGAAAGATGCTCAGTGCAATCCTAAAAAGAAGAAGAGATTGGATTTATACCCCACCCTTCACTTGGAGTCTCAGAGTGGCTTACAAACTCCTTTCCCTTCCCCTCCCCACAACAGACACCCTGTGAGGTGGGTGGGGCTGAGAGAGCTCTGACACAAACTGCTCTTTTTCAAGGACAGCTGTGCCAGAGCTTGTGACTGACCCAAGGTCACATCAGCAGGTGCAAGTGGAGGAGTGGGGAATCAAACCCGGTTCTTCCAGATTAGACCCGTGTTCCTAACCACTACACCAAACTGGCTCTAAGCAGAAAGCCCCACTCAGTTCAAAGGAATTTAGTCCCTTGGGATTGTGTTTTAGGGCAGAAACCTTGCTGGAAGTACGGCTGCATGGGCAGAGGCACCGTGTTTGCACAGGCTCCTTCAAAAACATACGCCGTGCAATGCATTTCTGCACATTAACTGCTGTAAACACCCAGAACTCACCAGTGTCTTCACCACACCCCTTCCAACTTTTTCCCAGCCTCTGATTGGCTGATTGCACAAAAGTTAACCAGGAAGCTTTTTTATTATTATTATTGTGTCCTATGGATTGGATCAACGCATTCTCGAAGTATGTGTGTGAGAGACCAAGCTCTCAAAAGGGTGAGGCTCTTTTTATGACTTGGCTGTGCCTGTTAGGAAGGGAGGGGGGAGGAGAGGAGAAGGACTCCTGGGTCTCCTCTGGGGGAAACAAGGTGCACGGCCTCCTGTGCCTTCTTTGGAGCAAGAACAAGTTGTACTAACCAAGGGAGAGCTGAAGGGACAAAGTAACCCAGACTTCCAAACCGTGGAGGAATTTTGTGGCAGCTTAAAGATGAATGCTTTTTTAAAAAAAACTCTAGCACCGAGAGACCGCTTAGAGCGATGCATGTCAGACCACGGGCACCTGAAAAAGCAGGTGCACGTCTGTGAACCCGAGTGCTGACAGTAAGGTGCCAAAGGATGCCACAGCAGTCTTGGGGGGGGGGGAGCTGGGTCCCCTGGAAAGGGTTTAGAACTGGTTATCTCATGGGGGAGAGTGGCACTGGGCGCCCGGAGAATTCCAGGCTTCTCAGGGGAAGGTAGAGTTAATTCCTCCGATACCTGTTTTGGTCCCTCCCCTCTAGAACTGGTTGGACGGCTTTGCCAGGTCTCTTCCCCGGGGCCGCTCCTTCTCTTCCTTCTCTGGACCTGGGGAGGCCCTTCACCTTTTCCCCCTCCTTTTCTTTCTTTCTTTTTTTGAAACCAACTAACAAGGCTTTGTCTGTGGGTCCTACGCAGGCCCTCTCCCCCTCCTTTCTGAAATTGCCTCTTTGGTTACCTCTGGGACCTGCTCTTTTGTCCCCTACCCAGGTTAGCTAGCCTCCCCCCCCCTCTCTCTCCCTCTCCCCCCCTCTGTCTCACCTCCAGCCTGTCTAATCTCACTCTCTCAGCCTGCATCTCACCCCTCCAAACCAGGTGCTGAAGAAAGGTGCTCACGCACCCACTGGCCCCCCCATCCCATGGGGTCTTCTGGACTGGGCCGTTGTCGGCTGGCATTGGTCTTTGCAGTGCTCATGGACGCTGCGGGCACAGGAGCCCTCCTGACGGGCATCTTTGCCCGGCTACGCCTCCGAGGCCGGGATTTTGGGGACCTTTTGATATACTCGGGTGCAGTGCTGGTGTTTCTGAGCCTGCTGGGCTGGATCATGTGGTACACGGGCAACATTGAGATCGCCCCTGAAGAGCTGGCGAGGGACTACGGCGCCAAGGGAGGCACGCTGGCCCGGCTCGCCAGGAAGATCTCACGGACTTGGTCTCGGCGCCAGAGCAGTGGGCTGGCCATGAGGACGGTGTCGAGCAGCCGGGAAGCAGCGTAAAGGTAACGTGGTTGCCCCCTGGCTGGTTTTCTTGGGCCTGTTCCTTACAGCCATTAAGAGGGTCAGCTTTAGGGCTGCCAACCTCCAGGTCAGGCCTGGAGGACTCTCAGAATTACAGCTGATCTCCAGATGACAGAGATCAGTTCCCCTGGAGAAAATGGCTGCTTTGTAGGGTTGATTCTATGGCACTGGACCCTCCCCAGCTGCCCCCCCCCAGCTCCAGGACTTTCCCAACTTAGAGTTGGCATCCTTCTGAGCAGGCCACTGTGTCTATGCCTTTAACAGCCACTTGACAGACAAATGTTAGCTGGGAATGTTTCCCTTCGTGCAGTGAAAAACCTGGCCTCCAGATTTCTGTTCCCCAAGCTGCTCTGAAAAGCACAAGGACAGGTGACAGATTTTTTTGTGGCCATTTGGCAACTTTGACAGCCACCTGAACATTCTTGTGGGCGAGGAGACATCTGTCTTCACCTCCCCCGTTCATTTGTCAGACAATTTATGGTGTCTGGATCAGGCCCGTAGCCGGGATTTTTAAAGTCGGGGGGCATTTAAATTTCTTAGGGGGCACTGGCTAACCAAATTAATCCCGTGTCGCCCTGGGCTGGATGGGAAGTCAGGGGGCTTTGTCAGCATGTCGGGGGGCCTAGCCCCGAGATGCCCCACGGTAGCAATTACCCGCAGTTAGGGTGATGGAAGAGCAGTCAGAAGGTGGGTACACCCCCACCATTTGGGGTTCCGACCAGCATTTGCACTGACCGGGATGGCCCAGGTAACCCCGATCTTGTCAGATCCTGGAAGCTAAGCAGAGTCAGCCCTGGTTAGCACTTGCCTGGGAGACCCCCGAGGAAGCCCAGAGCGGCTACACAGAGGCGGGCAATGGCCAACCAATCATAAGTGGGCTACCACTTGACAACGCCCTCCACACCCAGCTGGCATTTATGACTGTGCGTGAGGGGCGAGTAGCGATTCTAGACCAATTGACAGAGCACAGAACGGCAATGGGTTTAGCAGCCTGACCTAGAGCGAGTTCTCTACGCAGCCATTGAAGTCAGAGGCACCTTAGTGGGAATCCTCACGATCCACTCACCTAGTATAGTTTGAAGTCTGTTGTGATATTAGGGTTGCCAACCTCCAGGTGGTGGCTGGAGACATCCTGCTGTTACAGCTGGTCCCCGGGTGACAGAGATGAGTTCACCTGGAGAAAATGGCCGCTTTGGAAGGCGGACTCTATGGCGTCATACCCCACTGAAGTCCCTCTCACCCCAAACTCTGCCCTCCTCAGGCTCCACCTCCAAAATCTCCAGGTGCTTCCCAACCAGGAGCTGGCATTCCTAACCGGGAGCGGTCAACCCTGTGTGTTATATCTGCCCTGCCCACATATCTTCCTCACCCCCTGGCCTTTCAGAAATCCCTGAGCCTTCCCAGGCAGCGCTACTACGGGAGGGCCTGTAGTGACAGAGCGCCCGCTTTGCCTGGGGAAAGTCTCAGGTAAAGTTCCTGGCAGGTCCATTGTCAGGATCCCAAGGTCGCTGGGCTCAAAAGGTTTCTGAAGTTAGGGTTGTCAACCTCTAAGTGAGACCTGGAGATCTAGGATTATAACTGATCTCCGACTCCAGATGACCGAGCTTCAGTTCTGCTGAAGAAAATGGCGCCTCCGGAGAGTGGACTCCCCTCCCCAAACCCTGCCCCTCCAGGACTGTCCTGACCCAGTGTTTGCAACCCTGCTCTGAAGAGCCATGGCCAGCCAGAGGAGGCAATGCCAGGCTCCTTAGAGAGCTTCCTGAATTCGTATGTTTAAAGCCAAGTTGGTTGTCAGAATACATTTGAGAGCATTTTGTCTAGCCGCAGGTTCCAGTGGCTTTATAAAGATGTTCAACATGATTAATTGGGGATGCCATGTTTGTTTACTGGCAGAGTTCCTGTGCTCTTAGCAAGGGCAGAAATTCAGCTAGCTAAGATTTTCTTGCTGCTTCCACCGCCTGCCACGCAAAGCTGTTCAGTTTCTGTCCATCCATTTTTCCTCTCAGCACACAATGTTCCCTCTAAGCTGAGTTAGTGCGAGCTAGCTCACCGTTTTTTAGCCTCCGGCTCACAGATTTTTGTCTTAGCTCAGGAAGGAGGGCTCCAGAGCAAACTAATTTATGCAGCACTTGAATCGCTCGCTCACAACTTTAATGCCAGTAGCTCACAAAGTAGCATTGTTGCTCACAAGACTCCACAGCTTAGAGGGAACATTGGTTGTGATTAAGAGTGGTGGACTCTAATCTGGAGAACTGGGTTTGATTTCTCACTCCTCCACATGCAGCCAGCTGGGTGACCTCGGATCAGTCACAGTTCTCTCAGCTCTCTCAGCCCCACCCATCTCACAGGGCAGTGGTGGTGAACCTATGGCACGGTTGCCAGAGGTGGCACTCAGAGCCCTCTCTGTGGGCACGCGTGCCATCGCCCCAGCCAGGCCCAGAGCGTCATTAAAGTGTCGAATTCTCTGCCAAATAATTTCAAGTAAATGAAAGCATTTGGGATTGCTTTCCTTACTTTGTTTGGATCATCTTAAGTTAATGTATGAGGATTTTTTTCTAAAGTACAACCTCAGTATTCAGGTTAAATTGCCATGTTGGCACTTTGCGATAAGTAAGTGGGTTTGGGGTCGCAGTTTGGGCACTCGGTCTCTAAAAGGTTAGCCATCACTGTCACAGGGTGTCTGTTGTAGGGAGAGGAAGGAAAGGAGATTGTAAACTGCTCTGAAACTCTGCATGAAGGGTGGGGTATAAATCCAACTCTTCTTCTTCCTCTTCCTCTTGTTAGTCACATTGGGGAAGAACATAAAATACCTAATTTCCAAATGCAGTTATCTTGTGGCATATAGATTCCTCTGTTCTAAAGCTTTGAAGGGAATTTAATAAAGTTCCCATGTTTAGCTACAAAAATGCAAGTCACTAGATCATGGGAAAGCAAGCTTACCCCTGCCATAAATATGGAGGCTTCCAAGCGAAAAGAAATATTAATAGCAGTCAAAGTCACTGCACAGATTAGAAATTTCTCTTATTCATAGAAGAATTTTGTGCAGCTTTAATTTGTGCATTTATTTTGTCAGCTATTAAAATCTCACATCTCATGTCATACCGGAATTTATACAAAAATATCTTTCCTTTTTGTTGTTTATTGACTCGAGAGATTTAAGATTATCTAGCTGTTTATCTACCTGTCCATCCAACCATTCAGTAAGTTGTCTTTTGCACTTCATCAAATGGGCATAAAGCGTTGTAACTCTGCAATATAGATATTACATTGTATGTTAGCCAACTCTGGGTACCTTTGATTGTCTTGCTGAAATCCGCACATTGCTTGCTATATTGTAACACCTCATACGGAGACTGAGGGATATTTGTTTATTTACTTACTTGCTTCATACCCCACCTTTCTCTCCCATGGGAACTGAGAGCCAGTTTACATTGTTCTCATCTCTTCCTTTTGATCCTCACAACAACCCTGGGAAGTAGGTTAAACCAGGGCTATTTTTGGGCAGGAACGCACAGGAACGGAGTTCCGGCTGGCTCCCAAGTTGGCCACACCCAGCAGGAACTCATTAGCATAATAGGCCACACACAACTAGGGCTGCCAAATGCAGCCGGGGGGCGGGGAATCCCCCGTTTCGGAGCCCCGATTCCCGACGCGCCGGAATCGGGGCCCGGGGGAACCCCGCCCCCGGTGTGCGCGTCACTAGCAAGTGACGTAGGCACGCTGGGCACGCTGGGGGCGCGGCCACGGTCATACGAGGGAAAACTCCGTGATTGGCCCGGGAGTCCCCCGCTAAGGAGGAAGGTAACACTTGGCAACCCTAATGCATAGACCACATCTTTTCCCCCATGCCCTTCTGAATGGCCCAAGGTCACCCGGCAAACTTTGAAGGCAGAGTGGAGGATTTGAACCTGTACCCCAGGTCCTGCATTGCTTTTGAGTTTTCAAAGCAGTAGTCTTCACAACAACCCTGTAAGGTAGAGGGATATTATTATTCCCATGTTACAGATGGCCAGCCTGTGTCCAGGAAAGTGACTTGCCCAAGGCTGGCCCATGATGTTGAAGGCAGAGGGAAGATGCAAACCAGGGACTTCAAATCCCGTAGCTCCTGGTCTCTGTGTTAACTCCTGTTCCTGTTTTTGAACAAAGCACAAATATGCATTTCCTGTGTATTTGGGAGCAGGGCCTCCTCGAGGCCTGGATCTTGAAGCAGCAAAGGCTGGAATAATTTCCTCATAAGAGAAGGCTGGCCATCTCTCCAACCTGGAATAGAAAGGAACAGGTCGGCTGTCTGTCTCTGTCTGTCCTGGGCTAGCCAAGGGCTTCTTAGCACCCTCCCTTTGAATGGTTTCTGCCTCAGAGAGAGTTGCTGGTTTGGGCTATTCTTACTGGCCCTACTCCCGTGCTTTAACAGTAGTCCAGCATGCCGAAATCTAGTAGGCAAAGGTTTTTCTGGGTAGCCTTATCCGGGGGGGGGGGGGAGGCTTCTCCTGCTATGTTTTGATGTGTCAAACTGGTGTGAGAGAGTCAGGAATGGAGCCTTCAACTTTTTTTAAAAAATGAACGCTTCTCCCCACCATACGTATAATTGTCTTATGGAACGCAGTGCCCCAGGGTGTGTGTGTTTTGTTAAAGGGCCTTAGATAGATTCATTGAGGGTGAGTGTTAGTCATGGTAGCCAAACAGAATCTCCATGTTCAGAAGCAGTACACTTCTAAGCACCGGTTGCTAGTAGGGATGCCAGCCTCCAGGTGGGACCTGGGGATCCCCTGGAATGGAGGAGGAGGAGATTGGATTTATACCCTGCCCTTTACTCAGATTCTCAGAGTGGCTTACAACCTCCGTCCCTTCCTCTCCCCACAACAGACACCCGGTGAGGTAGCCGGGGCTGAGAGAGCTCTGAGCTCATTGTGACTGGCCCAAGGTCACCCAGCGGGCTTCATATGGAGAAGTGGGGAATCAAAACCAGTTCTCCAAATTAGAGTCCACCACTCTTAACCACTACACCAAGCAGCTAATCTCCAGACTACAGAGATCAGTTCCCCTGGAGAAAATGGGTGCTGGGGAGGGCAGACCCTGTGGGATTGTACCCTGCTGAGGTCCGTCTTCCCCAGGCTCTGTCCCCAAATCTCCAGGAGTTTCCCAGCCTGGATCTGGCACCCCTACCCGCTTACCCCCCACCAGGGCAGCCCTAGAACTTGCTAGGGACAACCAGCTGTCCTTAGACCCCATTGTTGCAAAGAGGGTGACGAATCTTCCCTTTGGTCTGTCTGATATTCTTAGGCCTGCTTGGAGAGCCGCAGCTCTGCCTTTCCCTTCTGCTTGGTTACTTCCCTTTGTCCCTCTTTCAACAGCTTCGTCAAAACTTTCAGTGTTTCATGACCTGAAACCAGAGACAGCCGATGCTGGTTTTGTCTCATCAGTTGAAAGGAGACACGCTTCCCACCCACCCCCAGCCTGTTACCTCATTGCCTGCCTGTTCTTGTATCCCACCTAAGGCAGGTCTGCTCGACTCGTGGCCTTCCCAGCTGAACCCAGGCGGGCCTCCCTGCCATACAGGGCAGCTCAGTGATGTGTCCATAACCACCTGGTTGTCAGGTCTGTGAAAACACAGAGGTTGTTAAGCACTAGAGGTGGGCCCTATACATGGCTGGTGCGGGTTGCCTTCATCTTGGGGCAGGGGACATCATAGGTTTGACCTGAGGCTACGTTTTTAAAGACTTTATGGAATCTATGCATACCATAGAGTTTGAGGGGAATCTTAGAGCATCACGCTAACTTGATGACATCACTTTCAAAGTGATGTTGCGGTATCGGAACAATACGTATGCAGGGGTCGTTTCGTAGAAAAAGAGCTAGGGGAACTCATTAGCATAATAGGCCACACCCAGCAGGAACTCATTAGGATAATAGGCCACACCCAGCAGGAACTCATTAGGATAATAGGCCACACCCAGCAGGAACTCATTAGGATAATAGGCCACACCCAGCAGGAACTCATTAGGATAATAGGCCACACCCAGCAGGAACTCATTAGGATAATAGGCCACACCCAGCAGGAACTCATTAGGATAATAGGCCACACCCAGCAGGAACTCATTAGGATAATAGGCCACACCCAGCAGGAACTCATTAGGATAATAGGCCACACCCAGCAGGAACTCATTAGGATAATAGGCCACACCCAGCAGGAACTCATTAGGATAATAGGCCACACCCAGCAGGAACTCATTAGGATAATAGGCCACACCCAGCAGGAACTCATTAGGATAATAGGCCACACCCAGCAGGAACTCATTAGGATAATAGGCCACACCCAACAGCAGAAACTCATTAGCAGATTAGGCCACACCCCTGACAGCACAGCTCATTAGCACATTAGGCCGCACCCACGTTACCAGAAGTGTGGTTATCCAGCCACACCCACCTTTTGCTTGTTATTCTGTTTACCTTGTTTGTTGTCAAAACCCAGGGCCTTTTTTTGTAGCAGGAACTCTTTTGCATGTTAGGCCTCACACCCCTAATGTAGCCAATCCTAATGCGTTTCTGCTGCTGGGTGTGGCCTATTATGCTAATGAGTTCCTGCTGGGCTTTTTCTACAAAAAGAGCCCTGGCTCTAATCCCTATACGATCCCTTCCTAAGAACTGAAGTTGCTAAGGAATCCTGGCCTGGTGTGCTTTGGGGTTCTTAACATCAGTTTGATTCTGTGGTATCTCACACCAGAGCGACAGAAGCTAGCTGAGAAATGGCAACTGTACCAAAACAAACCAGCCAACCATAGTACCAGCTCTTTACCATGAGAATCCTTCTATTCCCTTCTAAAGAATAGGAGGATGTTGTCTACTGAGGTTCGTTCCCCACCCCCAGTGCCACACTCTCCAGTTCCTGCACTCAAGTTCTACACTGGCGCACCTTGGTGTCATCCCATTCTCAATTCGATCTCCATCTGTTCTTTTTCTCAGGTGACCACCCACACCAAGTTTTGTGGTTAACAGAAGGAGCTTGTATGAAGGATGGATGAACTCGCCAGCACGGATGATGTTATTCTGCCAGTACCGGAGCTGACCTTTGGCCCACCGAATACCAAACCAGATTGCGGGACGCCTCTCTCCCCAGTCTGACCTGAAGCCACGCCCCCTCCGCAACAAGGATTTTTTTGTGCGAATTCTGCTTTGCAATTTCAAAAACCTTTCTTTTCAGTACCATGGCCTGTGTTCATTCATTTCCACTGCAAGCTGGCTGCAGTGCTGTGGAAGCAGGGGTTTTATCTTTGCCCCAGGGTGGGGTGCCTATGCCTTTAGCAATGGGTTGCCAACTCCAGGTAGGGCCTGGAGATCTCCTGCTATTAACAACCGATCTCCAGATAATAGAGATCAGTTCCCCTGAAGAAAATGGCTGCTTTGGAGGGGTGGACTCTGTGGCACTGTACACTGCTGAGGTCCCTGCCCTCCCCAGGCTCCCCCCCCTCCCCCCCCAAATCTCCAAGTATTTCTCTGGTGAGGCTACTTTAACATGTGCACATACCCCAGAAATTCAGTTTGTTTCCTCTCCAGTGACAATCTAGAAAGCGGCCTCTGCCACCTTTGTGCTCGTCATACAGCTGCTGAAAAACAGGAGCCCCGAGTGGGTGGGATGAGGAGGGGCGACACTCTAGGGTGGTCAGGAACCGAGGCTCCTGGGATGTCTGGAAAGGGATATACAGACTGAGGGGTCCAAGACTACCTAAATAAGCATAAAACTAAACTCTTTTATTGAAGGAGGTCAAGGTACATAGAGATTGCCCTATCAGGTTGTTCTTCCACCACCTGTTGTCCAATCAGTGCTGGCTCCCGTTCAGCTGCCAGCGTTCCCGCTTATGAAACTGGTGGCGGGGGCGCATCCGGTGCTGGTGGCGGAGGCGCATCCGGGGCTGGGGGTGGCGGCGCCTCCGGGGCTGGGGGCGGCAGAGCAGCTGGAGCTGGCGGCGGTGCTTCCAGAGCTGGGGGTGGCGGTTCTGGGCTTGGTGGCGGTGTTTCTGGGCTTAGCGGCGGTGGTTCTGGGCTTGGTCCCGGGCTCATTTCTAGGCTCGGTTCTGGGCTCCACTGTCGCTGCATCCTGAGTTCCTCCAGCTCCACGGGCTCGGGGCTCCATCCCACCTGCTTAGAGCCTCGTCTTTGTGTCCAAGAGTCTTCGGCCTGTAGGGACGCAGTCCCCTCTTGGGGCTCTGAGTCTGCCATGCTCTCGTCATCCAAGAGTCTGACCAGGTAATCGTCTATGTTGCCTTCACTCACTGGCCCCTCAGACAGTCTTTCTTTCCTTTGGAACTCTCTAAATTTGCTATAAGGAGAAGAAGCAAACCAGGACTCAGTGTGGGGTGGGGGGTTTCCCCGGAATGCAAGGCTTTATGAGCTTGGGTAAGACACTGGCTCCCTCTCCCCTACAGCAAGCTGACCCAAGGGCTCTGGTTAATGTACAAGGGCCAAATTGCTCGTGGCGTGGGGGGTGGGGAGTCTGTGATCAGAACCCTGATGTATAATTTAGCTGCTAAAAGCAGTTGCAGAAGGCTGTGATACGGATCAGGGCCATGATGCTGGGAGGAGGAGGGGTATATCAGTGTCCCTCCGTGCTGTTTTCCTTAGAACAGAAATGCTACCCACTTCTTCTCGATACGGCTTTAAGTTCTGTACGGGGAAAAAGACAGACACAATATGGGCGCCTGTCTTTTTTCTCTACCAGGCCTTAAAGCAGACGGGAGGGGGCATTTTTATCTGTGAAATCACATGGGAACTGATAGAGTTACTTCTCTCCTTTCCCCCTTCCCATCACCCCTACCTGATTTATTTGCAGTGACATTACACATCACCGGGATTCAGCCACAATAGCCGCCTGAGCCACTGGCAAAAATGGCCACTGTTTCCTCAAACAAGCTACCAAACCTTTTGTCATGGATAGGGCAAAGTAGCTTCCCCAACAACTATTTTTTTAAAAAACCCCAAAAGGCGAGAGAGTAGAGAACCAGATGAACCCACAAGAACAAACCTGGAAATACAAGTAATCCACCTCCCCCCCCCCAATAAATTTAGGCTATACAGAAACAACAATACTGATAGCTGTTACGGTACTTGTTGCTGATATTTCTAGTCATGCCCTGTGTATGTGTTTTTGAGATCTGCATTTTGTGTTTTCCCTTTGCACTTGCTGATTGGCTGTTATTACGCTTTCATTTTGTAAATTACGTTCTGTTAGCATAATGTCAGGAGCTGCGGTGGCTCAAGTGGTTAAGATGCTGAACTGCAGGCTGTGGAAGGTCGGTAGTTCAGCAGTTCGAGACCCGAGTGTGCCGCGTGACGGAGTGAGCTCCCGTCTCTAGTTCCAGCTCCTGCCAAACCTAGAAGTTTGAAAGCAAGAAATTGCAAGTAGATAAATAGGTACCACTTCAGTGGGAAGGTAGCAGCGTTCTGTGCGCCTTGGTGTTTAGTCATGCCAGCCACATGACCACGGAAACGTCTTTGGACAGCGCTGGCTCTTCGGCTTTGAAACAAAGATGAGCACCACAACCCTAGAGTCGGATTCGACTGGCTTTCGAGCAAGGGAAACATTTACCTAGCATAATGTTGGTGGGCAATAATAGGTCCAGGATAGATAAATGTTCTGCTTTACTGAATGAGTAATTCATTTCCGGGGATGTGGTGATGTCGGTGCACCCAGGTGGCTTTGAAGGGGGATTAGACAGTTCCAGGGAGGAGCGGTCCATCAGTGACCCTCTAGCCATGGTGAATCAAGGGAACCTCCAGGTCCAGAGGCAGTTAACGAGTGTTCGGAGGCAACACAAGGGAAGAGCCACCAGCTCTATGCCTTGTTTCTTTGGCCCTCTAGGACAACTGGCTGGCCATTAGGATGCTGGTCTCCATGGACCATTGGCTTGATCCAGTTGGGGTCTTCTTAGGTTTGCTAGCAAGGATATCAGTGTAGCTTTCCAGCTTCATGTATTTCTCTCGTTTCCAGCTTTGCTGGGATGGGGGGGGGAGCTGCTTTAACCATCAGTGGATGGCTATGCTTTTACAGCGGCATAGCATGGGAATTGACAACTTAGTGGATCAAAGCAAGAGTGAGTGTGGGTGTGTTGGGGGGGGGATCTGTGTTCTCTGTCATTTCTAGGGAAATGAACTCTGAGTAATTACACCCAAAAGCCTCATGCATATACCCTATGGGGCGGGGTGGCTAGTGGAGTAGAGGCTAGGAAGGATCCAGCCTTCCTCTGTTCTATCACAACCTCTGGGTTGGGTCACGAGTTTTCTTTGGCTTGCGAGTTCAAGTTCTAGCTGGCTGCGCAGTGGTGGCAGAAGTGGGAGAGGGTTTATAGCAGCAATCTAAACCCACTTGAGGTGAAGTTTGACTGGCGTGACTTCCTTTGCCTGTCATTTTTAGAACTGTGGAGATCATGCCCTCTTTAGCTCTTTCACGTAAGTATGGCTCCCAGCATGCGTTTCTCGGCCGGCCGGCCATGACAGTCTTGCTACTGGTTCTGGTATGTACCACACACAGGCAGCTCCTCAGATCGAGCCTTGAGCAGCTTGGGATCAGCATGCATCCATCCAGGGCTATTTTGGGGCAGGAACGCACAGGAACGGAGTTCCGGCTGGCTCCTGAGTTGGCCACACCCAGCAGGAACTCATTAGCATGATAGGCCACACCCAACAGCAGAAACTCATTAGGATTGGCTACATCAGGGGTGTGTGGCCTAACATGCAAAGGAGTTCCTGCTACAAAAAAAGGCCCTGGGTTTTGGCAAAATGATAAACAGAATAACAAGCAAAAGGTGGGTGTGGCTAGATGACCACACTTCTGGTAACATGGGGTGTGTGGCCTAATATGCTAATAGGCTGTGCTGTCAAGGGTGTGGCCTAATATGCTAATGAGTTCCTGCTGGGCTTTTTCTACCAAAAAAGCCCTGCATCCATCTATCACAGCCTAACAGTGTCCAGGGACTATTGATTAATCCTTGGCAATAGGGGTTTTTGTCGTTCTTTTGTGTCTGGAAGTCTGGTCATTGGCCTTCCTCTTGATGCCACTCATTTAACAGCCAGCTGTTCCAGGAGATGCAAAAGATGACTTTTGTTCATGTGGCATGAAAAGGAACACCAGCTGTCCCCTACACACACACACACACACACACACACTGCAGCCCAGCTCAAGGGGCCAATGCTGCCAACTGCTCCCAAAGGCCCCGTGACTTACCAGCCATAAAGGAGACACGCGCCAAAGATGATGATCACGACGCAGGTTCCGCCAAGGATCCCTGCATTGCGCCGTTGAGTAGCACCTGTCAAAGAAAAGCATCTGTCTTGATGAAGGAGACACCACCTCACCTGGATGCCAAGATGTAATAGAGAGAGCACCCCTCATTCAACACGGGACGGAAGCCAGAGGTGGGCAGCGAACAGAGCGGCTGAGATCCCTGCGCAGCTGGAAAAGGGGCTTGTCCCTTCTTCAGTTCAGAGCAGGCCTAGTTCCAGTTCTGGCTTGGGGGTTTGGGGAGGGAGATGTGCAGGGATGTGGTCCCATGTAACCCAACTTCTGAAGCTGTCGTTTTCTCGAGGGGAACTGCTCTCTGGAGATCAGCTGTGATTGTCAGAGAACTCTGTGCCCCACCTAGAGATTGGCAGCCCCACAGGCTGGAATAATCCTGGCTTCTGCGGGACGGGCCCTAAGAGGCCTGGTTACACTGCATCAAGCGGCCGGTGTTTTTTCCCTTGAGGGTAGCGCTGCAGACTGTCAATAATTGTGGAATGGTTACAACGTTTGAACGTCTGGCCCTTTGCCTAAGAAACATCTCCACTCTGAAGAGAGACATGTAGGTGGTAACATGTTCTTTCTCGCTCGGGGCTAATTTTTCAGGCAGGAATGCCCTCACCCCTCAGAGGAGCATTCAAATGTACAGGTTCCATCTCCATCGTCCATCGCAGCTTGGCACGGTGCATCCCAGGGGAAATTTGACTCTCAAATTCAGATTCTCCTGCTTATATAAACTGGCCTTGGTGCACACCACAGAAAGAGGGACTGAACGGGGATGTTTCCACTGTCCCCCACCCCCCCCCCCCCCGCCCAACACACACACTTGCTAAGGCAGCTGTATGAGCTCTGTCATGCTCACTCCAAACGGCAGGAAGGGATCTCTGAAACCTCACTAAGCTCCAAGCAGGCCTGTTAGAATT